TTCCATGTTGCACAATGGTTAGAATGCAGTATTGCAGACTAATTCTGCCCACTGCCAACAGTTTGAATCTCACCAGGCTCAAGGTTTTGACTCAGCCTTCTGTCCTTCCGAGGTGGGTAAAATGAGGATCCAGATTGTTAGGGGAAATAGGCTGACTGTGTAAACTGCTTAGAGAGAGCTATAAAACACCGTGAAGTGGTATATATGTTTAAGTGTTATTATCCTTCCTTCCTTCCTTCCTTCCTTCCTTCCTCCTTTTCCTTCCATGTTGCAGTGGTTAGAAGTCAGCATTGCAGGCTAATTCTGCCCACTACCAACAGTTCAATCCTGACCAGCTCAAGTTGACTCAGCCTTCCATCCTTCCGAGTAAAATGGGGACCCAGATTGTTGGGGGCAACAGGCTGACTCTGTAAACTGCTTAGAGAGGGCTGTAAACCACTGTAAAGTAGTATTCTATTCTAAACCTAATCTTATTCTATTCTATTAATTCTAATCTTATTCTATTCTAATTCTAATCTTATTCTAGTCTTCTATTCTTATTTTAAGTCTTCTGTGACAATGTGGTTTATTCAGTAAAATTTCATACTATTGGGGAAAAAATAATGTCCCGGGAGTTTCTTTTTCTGGATTTGCCAACTGGACAGTAGAGTTCACTGCTGAATTTTGTTCCATTTTCCCCAATCTGAACCACACCTTAAATATGTAAAGAACATTTCTTCTAGCTCAGCCCTGCCTTTTAAAGACATGCAACCACCGTGAGATGCTGCCTGCTCTGTCCACGTTGGCTTGCCCACACGTGACCCCCCCCATGCCAGATAATTGTGAAGTCTCTCCTGCCCACATAGTTAAGCATCTGTAATCCGTCCATAGTATCTTAACACCTCCCTTGCACCCCCGGGACAGGACAGTGACACCCTCCTGGGAGCGCAAAGCATGAAATAAGACTTGGAAGATCTCTGACAAATAGGTCCTGGGTTTGCATTGATGGATTAGCCTCCTCTAAGCAGCTCTCTCTGGGTAGTTTCGTCTTCTACATTAATTCACGAAATGTCAGCTTTCAAAATACATCTTGCTTGGCACAAAAAAAGTTAAAAACACGAAGAGAGACGGCTGCGCAGCTTTTCAAGTGGCTGTGTTTAAAAAACTGGCACAGAAAAAGCAAAACCCACATTTTAAAAATAAAATAAAATGCTTTTGTGTTAAAAAAAAAAAAAAACCAAACAATTGCGTGGCCCGTTCAGTTTCCCTGTTTAGGTAAAGAAATATCTCAAACAGAAGGAGATACAGGTTGCCTAGGAGTTTTTCAAAGTGATTTTAACACCGCAAGCAGAAGGGTTGAAGGTGACCTTGAGGTGATAAAATAGGGAGGTATTTATGGCAGGCGATCTGCAATGCTTCAGATGGTCACTTCTTTTCAAGTGTGGATGCTTTGAGGACTTCTCTTTCCAAGGAAAAAAGTTGGCAAGTATAACTTAAAGATGTTTTATGATGCTTCTCCTCCTCTTTCGATCCAATTGTGGGATTTTTTTTTTTGTTTCAGCCCAAATTTGTAGGGCTAGAAAGAACGGCGGCCCAGAACTTCAGGCAAACTCTTTTCAAGCCTGAGTAGGAATCCCAGTAGTCCTCGACTTACAACAGTTCATTTAGTGACCGTTTGAAGTTACACTGGCACTGGAAAAAGGGACTTAGGAACGGTGTTTGATTCACTTAACCGTCGTGGCAAGGAAGTTTGTAAACTGGGTCAAAACACTTTTCGCTTAGCGACTGAAATTTGGGGCTCAATTGTGGTCATAAGATGAGGACTACCTGTAGTGGATCTGGATTTAGTTCCATCTGTACACTAAGCCAACAACAGCCGGCTTCCATGTTTCACGTTTCCTTCACAAAACCCGGACAGCAGGAACCTCAGATAACTGGAAAAGAATATTCTTGCGTGCAATCAACATACAGACAGCCTGGGTCATATCGCATATGGTGGAAACGTAGAAAAACCCAGGAGTTTTGGCACATAATCCAGAGGTGGCTTAAAGGGATGGTAAAGCCATGATGGAGAACCTGTGGCACGCAAAGCCATTTGTGTGGGCACACAAGCCCCAGTCAAACTTAACCTGCACTACTCATGCTTGCGCCTCCCAGCTGATTTTTAGCCCGTTTGAGGCTGTTTCATCCTCCCGGAAACTCAAGGGAAGCCTCTGTAGCCTCCAGAGGCTGGAAAAATGGCCTTCTGGAAATACCAGAAGTGCCAAAACGGGCCCATTTTCAGCCTCCCGAGGCTGCAAAGGCTTCCCTCGAGCCCCCGGAGGGAGAAAACAGCCTCAAACAGACCGGAAATCAGTTGGGAGGTGCAGGCCTGCACAGTGCAGGTAAGGGGGAGGGGCAGGCGCATGTGCAGGGGTGCATTGCATTGTGGGTATACCCGTACGCACATGCGCTTTTGAGACACAACAAAAAGGTTTGCTATCACTGTGGTAGGGCATAAAGTGGAGTATAAACTGGGATTTTTCTTACTCGGAATTATAACAGAAAAATATAATAAAGAGGTGATTTATTTAATAATATATGCGATCACAACAGCAAGGTTGGCCTTTGCTCAAAAGTGGAAAGATAAAGAAATTCCCAATGAAAGCGAAGTAACGAAAAAAAAGAAAGAAATGGACTTGCGCTGAGATGGATATATTAACTTTGGAAATGAAAAATAAAGACGAGACAGAATATTAGAAAGTATGGGATAAATTTTATCAATTGTGGGGGGAGGAAAAAGGAAGGATCCAGAAACAAAAACCAGCAGGGTTGGCAGAACAGATGATTAGAAATAGAAAATAATGTATAAATGTATATAAAACATGTATTCCGGTGGTAGGATTCAAAATTTTTTACTACTGGTTCTTTGGGTGTGGCTTTGTGGGCGTGGCTTTTTTGTGTGGCAGGGGAAGGATACTGCAAAATCCCGCCCCCATCCCACTAACCTGCTTTCCAGCTCTGTTCTCCTCTGCAGGGCAACCAAATAAGACCCAGACGATCAGCTGGGACTCAGGAGGCAGAGAAGAGATGGGGTTGGCAGGGCCAGCCACAGAGGTATTTGCTGGTTCTCCAAACTACTCAGAATATCCACTACCGGTTCTCTAGAACTAGTCAGAACCGGCTGAATACCACTTCTGAGGTCTTCTATGGCATATATCTGACAAACAGGGTTGTCGGGAGGATTACACCACGTCCAATGTTTTTAACAACTTATTCAATAAAAATATTTTTTTTAAAAAAAAAAAACATACAGGCAGCCCGGCAGCGGTGGAATTCAAAATATTTCACCACCAGTTCTGTGGGCACGCGCACGCACCTAACACACAGTTTGCGTGCGCGTGGACCATTCTAAAACAGGCAGTTTTAAGCAGGAAAACTTAACGTCAGCGCTGGTGAGTAAGACAGCTGAGGTACGGCAATCCGCGCCTATCAGCTGAGCTACAAATATAGGGCAGGAAAGGGCGGGCATGGGTGTGTAGGGCCAAGTGTTGATTAGCGCTACCGGACAGCTAGAACCGGTGCGAACCAGCAGCATACCCCACTTGCAGCCCCGGTTCCACACCTTCAATCATGGCCAAAATTCATAGCTCCTGGGTAGGCGAAGGTCCTTTCTGAACCCGCAAAGTCAGGGATGAGTATTTGCACAAGCAGCTTGGGACTTCACGCCATCCCTGAGGTGGGCCACCGACAAATGTTCTGAAAGACTCACCTAGGGGCTAGCCGAGGGAAATTTGCTAGAGGCTGTTTTGCATAGCTGATGCTTTCCATTTGCTCCCTGATCACGTCCAGCAAGATGTTGATTAGCTCCTGACTGGAATTTAAACAAGGTCTCCGAGCCCCAAACTATGCCAAAATCAGTGCGCTCTCCAAATCTCAACGGCTGCCATGTTGTTCTCAGCCATGTCTTCAGTGCATGGGGAGGGCGGCGGGGGGGACGAATCTTATTTCTATAAACGTGCTAACTGCTCATTTACAGCCCACCCTGCTGAGAAAAAGGGGAAGGGAGAGAGAGGCAGTAGCAATGTTGTGCTTGTCACTGTTTGCCCTTGTTCTGTAAAAAGAAAGAAAGAAAGAAAGAAAGAAAGAAAGAGAGAGAGAGAGAGAGAGAGAGAGAGAGAGAGAGAGAGAGAGAGAGAAAGAAAGAAAGAAAGAAAGAAAGAAAGAAAGAAAGAAAGAAAGAAAGAAAGAAAGAAAGAAAGCTGAAGCTCAAAGAGAGGAGTCCGAAAAAGTGAATTCGAGGAACCTTGATTGTTTTCCCAGCGCAAGAAAAATGCACCTACAGTAAAAGTGAAAATAAACTTTCCCTTTTCCCCCAAAGAAAGGAAAAGTTTACTTTCTTCTTTTGGGACCTGCAGAATTGGAAACACACACCCCCC